TTTTTGGCTGTGACAGACCTTTCTTTGTTTCGTGGATGTTTTGCTGGCTTGTGATGGGGTGTGAACCGACAGTCTATAGAGTTTTCCATCTGGTGTGGGTGAGTGATAGTCTACTTTGATTTTGGTTAAGGTAGATTATCACTCACAGTGCAATCAATGAGGTAGATTTCCATCTGTTTGTGACAATATATACTACAGGAAGACGGATCGTTCTGAATGCATCTTCTGAATGCATGCTGTTGCATGCGCCATCTTTATGAGACTGCCCTTGGTAAGGCTAGACAGTGTTATGATGATGACACAGCAGGGACCCTGCAGGGTGCATCAACTTACAATTCTGATGTAACTGCTTGTTTGCGAATACGAAGTCCTTGCAAGGAGGATCCTCATGAATGCATCTTTTGCATGCATGTTGAATTTGCTATCCGCACGAGACTGCCCTTTGTTATGTTAGATAGTGTTCTTATGATGATGCCATCTTCTTTATTAGGCGCGGTACATTCAATTTACAATGCTTATGTTACTGCTCATTTGCAAATATGGAGGCCGCTGTGAATGCATCTTTTGCATGCACGTTGAGTTTGCCATACTTAATGGGATTGCCCTTTGTAATGCTAGATAGTGTTTTTATGACGATGCCATCTTCTTTAGCAGGGTACATCAGATTTACAGTTCTTATGTTACTGCTTGTTTGCAAATGCGGACTTCTTCATGCAAGAAGGATCCATATGAATGCATCTTTTGTGGAGGTGTTGTATGGGACTGCCTTTTGCTGTTAGTGTCATGAACTCATGGCGATGTCTTATTGCGATGTCATCTTCTTCAGAAGGGTACATTTCCAATGCTTATCTTATTATACTGCTTGTCATATCTTCAGGGTGTTTGTTTGTGAATCTTCACAATACTGCTTTGATTCACGCTGGCTACTTTGTCTAGGGTATCCTTGCCATTCCGTTTCTTTTAGCAGGTTACAGTAGCAATTGTTATGGTACTGCCTATCCTACCTGTAGGGAGATTTTGAGAATCCTAAGGACACTCCTTTAGTTTGCACAAGGTCCCTCTGTTTGTCCTGTCTGAAATCAAACTCGTCTTCTTCCCACTTTGTCATGCCTGCAAATAGTGGTACAGCAACTGGCGACATGCGCCCACACAGTACTCAAGATATCGTAACCAGATATGAGTTCTCTTCAACTGGCTATGGCGACTGGGCGCCCACACAACTCACTGTTCGCACTCTGGATCACCCTGGATGTCCCACACGCAACACTCAGTATCATACACAACACACACACA